GGTCTCCCAGCATATTCTGAGCTCCTCTGGGTCAGATCCTCTCAAGCCACTCCTCCCGCCAGTTCTTCTCCCCTGGAACTGTCTCCTGTGGCTGGTGAAAATCCATCCTCCCTGCTGGCCCCTCGCTCTGCCCTCTGCGGGGCCAGGGCTGAGAACGAAAACTAGTTTCCCTCTGCCCCTCTCTGGCCCGGCTGGCGTGGCTCAGTGGGCTGGCATCGGCCTATGAACCAGGAGGTCACGACGGTTCGATTCCCGGTCAGGGCACGTGCCTGGGTTGCAGGCTCCATCCCCCGTGTGGGGTGAGCATGAGGCAGCCGATCAATGATTCTCTCTCATCATTGATGTCTCTATCTCTCTCTCCCTCTCCTTTCCTCTCTGAGATCAATATAAATATATTTTTAAAAAAGAAACAAAAGAAAATCCATCCTCTGATTTAGCTGGAATTCCTTGCACTGCTTTTTCTAAATCACGCCTCGTATTACCTTCTGGTTCTGCAGCGGGGAAAATGCAGGGAGCTATAGGGTTTCTCTCAGTCCTAAGACAGCCTGGGAACTCCAGGGGCTCCCCACTCCAGGATCCCCCATTGCCAGCACAGTATGGTGTGCAGGTTGGGTGCTGCCCCTGGCTGCTAGACCTGGGAGGGAGGGGGCTGAAACTGGCGTGTGCTCTATGTACCAGGCACCTCCATGCCCACACCAGGAGGCGTTCAGCCCCTAAGCCAGGGACAGCTCAGGATGTGGTCAGGAGGGGCCCGAGGGGCCCAGAGTGAGGGAGACCTGGGGGACTGGAGTCAGGCTCCCAGGGTTATTGATACTGACCTGCTCTCCCCACTGCCCAGATGGAGCCCCGGAACCTGGCCCTGGTCTTCGGGCCGACGCTGGTGAGGACGTCTGAGGACAACATGGCGGACATGGTGACGCATATGCCCGACCGATACAAGATCGTGGAGACGCTGATCCAGCATGTAAGTGGCCACGGGCCCTGGGCACCTCGCTGCTGCTCGCCGGGTGGGTGTGCACAGGGACAGTTGAGGCAGCTTAAGAAAACGCTGCTGGGGTGGGAATGCCCTTCAAGGCCAAACAGGAATAGATCCTGGAATCCCTACCGTCGGGGATTCCCCAGGTCCCCAGCAGAAGAAACAGGAGGCCCCTGAGTTTCCAAGATGTGTGTGAGGGTCAGAGGGAGGAGGAAGGTTGGAGAGCAGAGGGGTGAGTGCAGGGGCACCTTCAGAAGCGCCCGCCCTGGAGAGACGGAGAGGCGTCCTTGCATAAACCTGCAGACGGGTGCAGGGTGCAGGGTGCAGGGTGCAGGGGCAGAGGAAATGGTGATGCCGCGGGTGGGGTGGAGGCGGATGGGGCAGGAAAGGCATGGTCTGAGGCGGGCCCTGCACTCCTGCTCTGTTTATCTTGGGCTGGTCACCTCCCTTCTCTCGGCTGCTTGGAGGCCCCAGAGGCCTGTTTCTCAGGGTTCTTGTTATTGTCCATGAAGGATGAGAGCCGAGAGTGGCCAGCAGAGGGCCCAGGAGGCCTTCATCTTCCAGAGCCAAACCCAGGGCAGCAGTGCCCCCTGCTGGGCACGCAAGGATTTTTTTTATGAACCCTCTTAGATCTGCATTTCCAAATGTTGGTATGGCCTGTGGTCCAGCTAGACCCCCGCCCCGCCAGGAGAAATAAGATTGGCCGCTTATCAGGGGGAGGGGAGCCTTAGCCTCCCCCACCTCATATGGACTTGAGGGAAGGGAAACCAGATCGTGTTACCCCCATTTTACAGATGAGGAAATCGGACTGGAGCTCAGAGAGGTAAAGTGACTTGCTCAGGTCACACAGCTAAGAAATGGTAGCCTGTGCTTTTCTCCCCACCTACTGGGAGGGCAGATTCCTCAGCTTGTCCCAGAGCGAGGAAGGCTGGCGAGAGTAAGGCAGTGGGGTCCACTTTGGTCTTGCTGACTGGCCTTGCCTGTTGGTTTCTTTCTCTCCTTCACTGTGTGGTCAGGGTTCTGAGCCATGAGAGGGAGCATGGTGGCCTGTTCTCACCCTAAAAGTGGGACCACCGGCCTGGAGGCCTGGTCCAGAGCTGTCAGGGAGGCCAGCGCCACCAGGTAGCATCAGAGATCCTGATGAGGCCTTGGTCTGGGGAAGCTTATCTCCCTTGGAAAAGCTCAGCTCTCCAACCCAACAGGGAGCCCCCTGGAGCCCCCATGAGTGTGCTTTGAGGGGGCAGTAGGGAAGAGAGAGAAGCTATTGGAAAAGCTCAGCTCTCCAACCCAACAGGGAGCCCCTGGAGCCCCCATGAGTGTGCTTTGGGGGGGGGGGCAGTAGGGAAGAGAGAGAGGCTGGTCCCATGGTTCCTGGACAAGTTCCTAGAAACTTGAGGCCTGTGATGAGCTGGGGTGTCAGGAACAACAGCCTTTGGGGAGAAAGGAGGCCCCAAATGTGTCCACTTCTTCCCCCAGAGCTGTGAGGGGAGTCCCCACCAAGAGCAGCCCCTCCTCTGGGCAGGTGAGGGAGGTAAGGCTTATCGGTCTCCTTCCTAGGCGTATTCCCAGCACCAAGCCCAGTGCCCGGCACAGAGAACACGCAGTGTTTGTTGAATGAATGAATGAATGAATGAATGGCTGTGGAGGTTATGCCAGTCTGGGCTTTACCACCCAGGGATTCATTCCCAGAAACTGAGCTGGTGACCCTCCATGTTCTGCCTCCTTGGCATTTGGACATAATCAGCCCCAGATGGTGGTGAGGGAATGAGCTACCCCCTCTTCAGGCCCTTTAGCCACCCCCAGGTTTACAGGGGTCTGCCTAGCCCAGAGGCTCTATGGCGAGGGGTCAATGTGGTCAGGAGCCCAGGCAGGGGTTGGACTTGTGGCAGAGACTCCCCTGGCCAGGCCGTGGACAGTTGGAGTTAGTGGGTGACATGACCTCCTGCTGGGAGTTCTAGCCACGGCGATGAGCTGCCCCCCCGCCGCCCCCCGCCTGGGACTCCTGTCATCTGTGGAATCTGTGGGCAGCAGGGCTGGAAGTGGCCTTAAGGGATCAGACCTGTCCCCACATTGCTCAGAGGGGGTCGAAACTGGGGTGAAGAGGAACAGTGAGTGACTTGCCCAGGGTTGCACAGCAAAATGATGCCAGCAGAGACGAGAAACCCAGGTGTGCGGCTTCTCAGCAGCAAGTCACCAACCAGCTCACACGTGTTTACTAACTCGAATGGATCTCAAATGCAGACCTCGTCCAGGCATCTGTTCAGTTATCACTCAGCACACATGCCCCGCCTGGGACTCCTGTCATCTGTGGAATCTGTGGGCAGCAGGGCTGGAAGTGGCCTTAAGGCATCAGACCTGTCCTCACATTGTCAGAGGGGGTGGAAACTGGGGTGAAGAGGAACAGTGAGTGACTCGCCCAGGGTTGCACAGCAAAATGATGTCAGCAGAGACCACCAAACGCAGGTGTGTGGCCTCTCAGCGGCAAGTCACCAACCAGCTCACACGTGTTTACTAACTCGAATGGATCTCAAATGCAGACCTCGTCCAGGCATCTGTTCAGTTATCACTCAGCACACATGGTGATACCTACTATGCGTACACTGGCATTTGTTCAGTTATCACTCAGCACACATGGCGATACCTACTGTGCGTACACTGGCATTTCTCAACCTGGCACTAGTGACCTTTAGGGCCAGGTCACTCATTGATCACCCCACACCAGGGATCAAGCCCGCAACCTGGGCATGTGCCTTGACCGGAAATCATACCGTGACCTCCTGGTTCATAGGTCGACCTCAACCACTGAGCCACACCGGCCGGGCTGTGTGTTTTAACTTTCATTCAGTGAGCTTAGCTCATATACTTTATTGTCACTTTTGTACTTTTAGGACTTATTTCTGTTATGCAATCTTTTTCTGTTAACCTCATTTTCATTTTATTTCCTTTTGGTCTGTCCTACCTTGCTTTGGCTGGGTTGATTTTTATTTTCCTGATATTAAAATCATACAATTTATAAAATCCACATACAATTATAAAGCCCATACTTACGTTTAGTTTTCACTATCAATTTCTAAACCTCATCAGTCTTCCACGCCTTCCTTCCACCACATCTAAAAGCCAAGTACTAGTGTCCTTTCACCTGTCACTGGTTTCTCCCTCGGAATTTGAATTCCTGATTGTCACGAATACACTTCGTTTGTGTGTGGCATCATTCTTGGTTTGATAACAATGGACTTTTCTATGCTACTGCCCATCCTTATTTCTCAAAGCTTATTGCTCAACTCTGGATTCATTTCTTTACTTGCTCATATACTCAGAGAGTTTAGCAGGGTATAAAATTCTAGGTTCAAAGTTCCTGCAGCTCTGGCTCAGTTGGTTGGAGCATCATCCCATACACCAAAAAGGCTGCAGGTTCAATTCCCACTCAGGGCACATACGTAGGTTGCAGGTTCCGTCCCCAGTTGGGGTGTGTACGGGAAGCAGCCGATCAATGTTTCTCTCTAACATCTCCCTCTCTCTCTCCCTTCATTTCTCTCTAAAATCAATAAAAAACATTTCTTCAGATGAGGATTAAAAAATAATGCTTGCCTTTGTAGTCCAACAATACATTGAAATAATTACTTGTCTTGTTGTGTCTGTTGCTGCTGAAAGTTTTAGTTACAGCTGATACTTGCTCATTTGTAAGCAATCTGGTTTTGTTTTTTAGAAAACGTTTAGAGTTTTATCATTAAGATTCTCAAATTTCACAAAACATATCTAAGAGTGGAATTTATGGCTTCAGTTTCTATTGTGTTTGGCATTTATGAGAAACCTCTTGCCTGCCTGCCCCTCAGGGAACCTCCTAACACCTTCCAGGGCTCCCCCAATTGTAAGAGTGGAGCCCAGGGCTGGTGTGGGGTGTACTCGGCTCTAGTAGTCCTGGAGGGCCTCCTCCCTGCAGTGTGCCCGCTGCGCCGCTGCCCCCTGCTTCTGGCTTGCAGTAGGGAGCCAGCCCTCGTGATGTGCGCTGGGCAGAGTTTAGTGAGAGACAGGCAGAGAGAAGCTCTCCCTCAGCAGCTCTCCCTCAGCAGGGCATCAGTCTCTACTCCGACCCGCTCTCACTCCCATCTGCATGTCCCTCCCACACTGGGGTACAATCTTTCCTTTCCCCAAGGGTTTCTCATAGTCTATGGAGTCGGGTTCCAGAACCTATCACCCTCTGAGGCCTCTCTGGCAACCAGGCCAGCCTGGGGTTTGTTGAGAAGAGGGGGGCCCTTGCCTCTTGGTGCCCCCTCCTGTCCCATCCCGTCCGGCGCCCGAGTGGGTGCTCTGGACTGAGCAGGTTGGGAGCCCGTGTCTGCCCGTCTCCCTTCGGCCCCTTCCCACGCTGATTTCATCACTTCCTTTTGTCTCCTCTGCAGTCAGACTGGTTCTTCAGTGATGACGAGGACAAGGGAGAGAGAGTAAGTGGTGCAGAGG